TTGCGAGGAAAAAGAATTTATTACTTTTAAAATCTAGTCAAAAATAACTTTTTTCTTCTATGACTTTATTTATTTAGAAGCTATGCTGCCGCGGTAATGGGCAGCTAGGTAAAGTACTTGGTTGTGCCACCTGTGAAAGTTCTTCGGTCAATCTTCATTATTCTTGACACAAAGGGGCAGGTGGGGGTTTATTTTACTTTAATAACTGATCTGTGATAGGCTAGGCTCTTCTTGTCAGAATTAGCAAAGAAATTTCTCTTTCAAAGAAAATTGAGTTATGAAATTTCATTTTTTTTTTGTGGTGCATGTCCTATTGATACAAAGATGATCACACTCAGAGAGGTAGATGCTTCATTTCAAACCATTTATTTCTTCGCGTGGTTTAAGTTGCTTTCATAATTACTACGTATCTGAACTATTGTCGGAAAATACTGATATAGTTAATGTTTCACCTGGTACATGTACACAGGGTGTTGAGAATTTGTCAGATAAGTTCAATCTGGTACTCGGAAATTGTCGGCAGAAACTTCAGAAACGGGTCAGTGCTTTTGAATGACTTGTCAATCATCCGGAACACAAAGTGAATTGTGATCAGAAAAAGTAGCTAAATCGCAAAAACGAAACAACCAGCATTTCTTTCGACGAAAGTGAGATTAAAGACAACTTCAAAATACTCGCGAAGGAACCAAGTTAATAAGGTGACGTCAGAATAGCGTGTTCTGTTATTTGAAAGGTAGGCAGAGCATAAGCGCGACACAACCCTGATGACCGGGCGGTCAGTTGACCCCACTACAAAACAAACTTAATTCTTAATCAGTCATGTAGCATTCAATAACAAAATCTTCAAACAACACTACAATGATATATAATTAATTTGTCTCCCCAAAATCTCACTCTAATGTTCCGACACGGCCTGCATCGCATTACACCGGTTCTGCAATCTCGCTAAATCAGCGGTTATCACTTCACATACAACCAAGTGGTCTATTCAGCTAGAACATGGTACAATTAGGCAATTCAATTACACATAATTTGACTCCTTGTTATCCCTCAAGATCCTCATATATACCGCTTCTACTTCCCCACACTGTTCAGGTTTTACATTTTAAAACTTTTCTGTAAGAGTCTCGGAAGTGTTTCTGCATCAAACCGTAGATCACAGGATTAATAGCGCAATTTGCTGCACCAGTGTAAAACATAATGAGGTACACTTGACGCTGTAGTTTGTAATCTCCTCGAAGGGTACCCAAAATTTCGAAGGTAAAAGCAGGAGTCCAACAAACCAGAAACGCCCCTAAAATGGCGAAAAGAATTTTGGTGATTTTAACTTCTTCCTTGTACGATCTCATTGTGTCCACGTGAAGAGTGCTGTCCGCAATTTGAGCAAAATGAGCGCGAACTTTGCGAAACACTTTGTAGTAGCAGAATACCATAACAGGACATGTTATGGCAATTAAAATTGAGTAAGAACTGAGAAGAAGAGCCCGTTCTTGTGTAGTTTCGTTCTTGCAGACGAGGCAGGCCGAAACACCAGGATGAAAACAAAACCGCTGCGCAAAAAATGGAATAATGAAGACTCCAGAGAAAATTCCACAAGCAGCTATCGATAGCAGAACGTTATTTTTAGTGTATATCTTCTGATAAATGTTCGCCGGTCTAACCATTTTCACGTAACGATTTAGGGCTATTAGTGTCATGTTCAGAAGCGAAAAGCTTGAATAGCAATATGTTAAGCTGCCTTGTATCTGACAGATCGTCTCACCAAATGGCCATCTCCCTAGAATCACTACAGCCAAGTCCAAGGTAACACAAAGTAGTGTAAAAAGCAAGTCTGAAGCTGCTAATGCAATGATGTGGTAATTTTGCGTTTTATTACAGAGTGAACGAAATTTGAACATTGCCAAGCAGAGAACGATGCTTCCAATTAATGCTGCAGTTATGATGACGGCGACGACAGACGATTCTACGACAATTAACCATGTTTCTCTGTTCCAGAGAGATTCTTCGAGGTTCCTTTTCCTTTCAAGTGCTTCAGCCATCTTTACAGAAGGGGAGGATGTCGCATTTGTCCTGTTCCAAATTTCAATTGGCGAAGAATTTGAAGATGAGACCGTTGCTAGCCGTGTACCTTAATTGCATATTTAAAGAGTTATGTGTTCATCTAAAACGTTCTAAACAAATTCAACCCATGCAAAGTTTCACGAATTGGAAAAATTGTTATGTCCACATAGGATAATTCAGATTATTATGTCCTTAACATATTCATTTACGTAGTAAAAAAATTCACCCCATGCAAAGCATCAGCGAATTGGAAAAATTGTTTATGTCAAAATAGGATAATGCAAACTTCGAAAAAAATTATTTAGAATGTTGTATGTTGTATTCCAAACATAACAAATGATCTTTTCCAAGACAAGGTTTATTTGTGACATGGTCATTACTAATTCATTATATATAATAACTTTCTTTTTCATGTTGTAGCGAGTATCAACAAAAGCCTAGTCCTTTATCTATCATTTATCGCCAGCGTAACACATCAAGACTTTCGCCTTTGCGCTTTAGCTAGAAACTAGTGGCAACCCCTAAACAGTTAAAATTATTAATGCGGCTTCATTTTGTGATTTTTAATTTAATTTTTTTATATATGTATCTATAGACAATAATCTTAGGGAGAAGCCGTA